CTTCCTGCCCTGCGGGGAGACACAGGGAGGTTTAGCCAGCCTGGGAGGAAGCAGATGGGATGGGGAATTCGGAGCAGCTGGGGTCACCAGCTGGGGACAGTGACACACAGAGCTTTGCCTCCAGCTGGCAGGTGCCAGCCCAGCACGGGCAGGAGCAATGCCGGCAGCTGACCAAGGGTGTCCCTGCGTCAGGCACCTCGTGCTGCCAGCAGCACATCTCTGGAGCTGGCTCCTCCGAAGGGGAGGCACAACGGGGCCAGCACAGCAGCCACCTCTACAGCCTGCCAGGGCACATGGGCCAGCAGGGATGATGGCAGGATGATGGCTGGGCATCCTCCCTGTCGTGTCCCCTCCTGCTCGCGCTGCCCCGGCTCTCACCCCATCCAGCTCGCGGTTGCCTTCCCTGGATGACGGTCGGCCCCTCAGGCTGGGCCTCCTCTCCACAAACACCACCTCACAGCACGCCTGGTCCTCGTTGTGCAGGCTCTTCCCCGCATTTATCACCCTGCCAGGAGGAAACAAGATGTAAAGGCTCTTTCTTTCACATCATGCTCCAAAAGAGGCCACCCCGCAGCACCTCATACCCCTGACCCAATTTATGCCCCCACATCCTCAGGGACACTCCTTGCAGTGCTCCTGCCCTGTCTGGGGCAGCAGCCAGGCAGAGGAGATGTCCCAGACCAGCTGCATGGGTTGATCCAGGGCCAGTGGCAGTACTTGCTCCCACTGGCACAGCTGGGTCCAGTGTAGAGTGGCTGTCCAGGCACTCACCAAGGGAGGTGACCAGAAAAAGCTGGTTTTGCTGAAGGTCCCCACCCCTGCCCCAAGGAGAGTGATTGCCCAAAAACCTGCACCAGCCTCAATTCACACACACCCAGCTGGGACTCATGGACAGGGTGACACCCGTGTCCCATCACACCCAGCACCTCTCAGAGGGAGCAGGTGCCTCAGAGAAGGAGGAGAGAAGGCAACAAAGATAGAACCAGCAGAACTTTTGCACAAAGATTCACACTAACTTTCCAGTGCCTGTGCTGGCACAGCAGATTTCAGGTCTAGATTGCAGAACCCGCTCACGGGAGGAAGCTGTGAACACCCACAACAGGATGAGCTCTTTGGGCACAGGCTTTTCAAGTGGTTTGCAGAGAGAAGTCTTGGGAGAAGGAAGAGGAGTCTCGGGGCTGAGCAGAGGGTGGTTTTTGCTCCAAGTACTCCTACCCCAGTATCTCCTGGGGCAAATTAACATCTCAAAAAGCTCCCTAGGATACCAGGAGGATCAGCTGAAGCTGTGAACACCCACAACAGGATGAGCTCTTTGGGCACAGGCTTTTCAAGTGGTTTGCAGAGAGAAGTCTTGGGAGAAGGAAGAGGAGTCTCGGGGCTGAGCAGAGGGTGGTTTTTGCTCCAAGTACTCCTACCCCAGTATCTCCTGGGGCAAATTAACATCTCAAAAAGCTCCCTAGGATACCAGGAGGATCAGCTGGAGCAAGGGATGCAGGAGGGGACTGAGCAAAGGTGGCCTTTAAAGCCTGACCCTCCCAACAGCTCCAGTTGGGTGAAACTCGCAGCGAGTAAAAGAAGAAGAGAACCAGACCCTTGGAGGGGAAGTGACAATCAGGTCCCGA